TCAGTATCACACAGTTGCTTCCAGGGCTGCAACGGCATCTGTAAGTATCTTGTGGTACCGCCTCAAGCTCCAACATTGGTCTGCAGCATTTTGAGACAGCCAAATTGCACGTGAGGTCATGAGGTCCCAGCTGAAGCTTCACTTTGCCATAGTAGCCTTGGATTGTCAGGCGATGAAGAAAAAGAAAGGTGACCCCAAATGGGATGGTGTTTCTCTCCTTGGTTAAATTTGTTCAAAGCCGTTAAATAATTCCCTCGCCTAGTTGGAGATGTGCCCTTGGATTTGGATAAACTAAACATGTTTAATGATGTGTATATATATAGATAGATATAAAATCATAATCCCCGTTGCTACCGACTACTGAGGTTCACCCCCTGATTTTATCCAGAAGTTGGTTAAAATTCCACACACCAAAGGTCTGCACAAGTAAAAAAAACACTTTCTGTTGTGATTTGCTAATTTGACTCGCAAATTTGACTCTTTTGCAAATCTGTCTGTCGCTGCCAACCAATCTATTTAAGACCCATCTTAGATAGGGAAGAGGCTCATTTTGGAACACACGCTTCGGAACACAACAATCCCTTCGCCCCTGTGGAATAAAGTCCGGCGTTCGATAGCAGTTTGTTGATATGTAGCATGCGTGCGGTTCGCAGGCCGAATCTAGAGGAGGAAGGCGCCATTCCAAGGTAGTATACCTTCCTGGGTTGCTTTGTTGTTTGGATCTTGTTCAATATAAGCGGGAGGCGGCGCAATGCCTCCCCCACGGTGTGAACCAAGTCCAGTGGCTTCGTTGGTGGGGCTCGTTGGTCGTTAGGGTTCGCTGGTTGCTTCGTTGCTTGGCTTAACCCCCGCGTGGCTCACAAACGGCATACTTTGGAATGGCACCTTCCTGCTCTAAATTTTACCCCGCGTGGCTCACAAAAGGTATGCTACCTTGGACTGGCACCTTCCTGCTCTAAATTTAACCCGCGTGGCTTGCAAAAGGTTTGCTACCTTGGGTTGACACCTTCCTGCTCTAAATTTTTACCTGGCGTGGCCCACAAGAAGTCTGCTTTGGTAGGGCACCTTCCTGCGCTAGATTTCACCCCGCGTGACTTACAAAAGGCACGCCACCTTGGAATGGCACCTTCTTCCTCTAAATTTAGCCCCCGCATGGCTCAGAAAAGGCGTGCTACCTGGGAATACAATCCCTTCGCACTGTGGAACAGATTCCGCTGTTCGATAGCAGTTTGTTGATACTAGTATGTAGCATGCGCGCGATGTCATATCGGTTCGCGGGTCGAATATAGAGGAGGAAGGCGCCATTCCAAGGTAGTATACCTTCCTGGGTTGCTTTGTTGTTTGGATCTTGTTCAATATAAGCGGGAGGCGGCGCAATGCCTCCCCCACGGTGTGAACCAAGTCCAGTGGCTTCGTTGGTGGGGCTCGTTGGTCGTTAGGGTTCGCTGGTTGCTTCGTTGCTTGGCTTAACCCCCGCGTGGCTCACAAACGGCATACTTTGGAATGGCACCTTCCTGCTCTAAATTCTACCCCCGCGTGGCTCACAAAAGGTATGCTACCTTGGACTGGCACCTTCCTGCTCTAAATATAACCCCTGCGTGGCTCAGAAAAGGTGCGCTTTGGAATGGCACCTCCCTGCTCTAAATTTTGCCCCCGCGTGGCTGACAAACGGCACGCTACCTTGGAATAACACCTTCCTGCTCTAAATTGAACCCTCGCGTGGCTCACAAAAGGTATTGTTTGGAATTGCATCTTCCTCCTCTAAGTTTTACCCCCGCGTGGCTCACAAAAGCTACGCTACCTTGGAATGGCACCTTCTTCCTCTAAATTTAACCCCTGCGTGGCTCGGAAAGGTACACTATACCTTGGAATGCAATCTTTTCGCACTGTGGAAAAGATTCCCGTGTTCGACAGAAGTTTGCTGATATGATATGTAGCGTGCGTGCGATGTCACGTCATATGGGATCGCCAAGGTAGCGAACCTTCCTGGGTCGCTTTGTTGTTTTGATGTCCTTCAAAATAAAGGCGCAGCGCCTCCCCCGCGGTGTAAACCAAGTCTAGTGCCTTCGTTGGTGGCTTCATCGCTTTGTCGCTTCCTGGATCCCTTCCTGGGATGCTTTTTTATGCTTTTTTGTGTTGATCTCCTTCAATCAAACAATAGGCGGAAGGGGGTGCGGGGGAGAGCTGCAATTCCAACAAAGTCTATAGCCTATAGCGGGTTCGTTGCTTGCTTTGTTGCTTGGCTTAACCCCCGCGTGGTGTGGCTTACAAAAGGCATGCTACCTTGGACTGGCACCTTCCTGCTCTAAATTTAACCCCCGCGAGGCTTACAAACATAATGGGTTCCACGCGCACGGCAACTTCCACGGGCACGGGAGAACTGCGACGGGCACGGCACGGGCACGGCGCCTAGGTAGCAAGATGGTGAACAGACTTTGCGTTGGTCCGCCCTCCTAATTCTCGTACATGAAGAGAGAATTAAACATTGTAACACAAGTTCTGGCTGGGAAGAATTGGGCCTAAACATTGTAACATTGGTTCTGGCTGGGAAGAATTGGGACCTAAATGTCGTCCGAGAATTTCATCACACGTCATGCTCGCGTGGTGATTCAAACTCTGAGGCAGAAGTTCTCGGAGATCCCCCGCTGCGGAGAAATTGAACATAAAAGGGCTACAGAAGAAGGACGTGGCTTGCCGGATCAATAGCGTTGTCCAGGGTTGGCGCGGTGTTGGACATTGAGCTGCGGCAAATGTTTGGCAGCTTTTGCCGGTTAAGCTTGCCAGCACGCCTATTCATTAGATCGCCCAGCGCGGAATGTGTGGGCTGATGGGCCATCAGTTGATGCGTGCGGTGTTCAGCTTGCAGGGTTGGGCATCTGGGGTTGGAGCCTAACAGCTTGAGTTTGCTGGCCAAACGTCATTTTCGTGGGAATGCAGGGTTGGATTTCCATGGTTTGGCGTCCGAGGGTTGGAATTTCTGGGTTGGCGCAAAATGTGTGGGCTGATGGGCCATCAGTTGATGCGTGCGTAACTTGCAGGGTTGGGCACCTAGGGTTGGAGCGCAACAGTTTGAGTTTGCTGGCCCACACTCATGGAAATGCAGGGTTGGAGTTTCTGGATTCCGGCCGGTGCAAGAAGCTCTCGCTGACGGGCCATCAGTTGATGGTGGAAATTTGCGTATAACAAAGTGTTTGGACCCAGTATTTGTCCCTGGTATACCCTGGTTATTGATCCACAACCCTTCCACGACATAAAATATATGGTGCTTCAATCAGTTTCAACACAAAGGCTTTTGGTTCTGACATCTTCCAATACAGTATGCAAGTATATGATGGAGTTGTCAATAGCACGGGCACGGCACGCAACAGGCGCACGTATTGCGCCAACGGGCACGGCACGGGAGGCACGGGCACGGCGAAACCACCTCTTTATGCTTACAAAAGGTAAGAATAAAACACCGTAAAAAAAGACACACCAGAAAAATAATATACAAGAAGAAGAAAAAGCACCAACTGAGAAGAACCACCAGAATAAAAAAACACCAACAAAAAACACTACCAAAAGAACAACACCAACAAAAACCGCCACCAGAAGAAAAACACCACCAACAAAAAAAACACAAGAAAAAAAACACCAACAAAAAGACACCAGAAGAAAACAACCACCAACAAAAAAACAACCAGAAGAAGAAAACACCAACCAAAAAGACACCAGAAGAAAAAACACCAACAAAAAAACACCAAAGAAAATAACCACCGCGTTCCAAATTGAGACCAATCGCCCACGTTCCAAATTGAGACCAATTGCGCGTTCCAAAACGAGGCCGTTCCCTTTAGATAACCCTTCAACTAAATGAGTCAAATAAAATGGATCTTCCGTGGTCGACCACACTCATTTTAGCAAGCCGCTAGCAACGGGGATAAATATCCAATCACTGAAGTGTTCATTTGAACATCTTTGGACACACGCGGGGCGCGCAATCACTTTCGGCAGTGATCGCCGCAAAGGGAGCCGAGTGATTCTCCGCTCGTTGAACAGTGCAGCGTGTCAAATGCAATGCGGGCAACAAGGATGCAGCGCAAGACCTACAAGTATCTCTCACCTCCCTAGCAGGGAATCTGCTCCCATTCAACGATTCTCTCTGCTAATTCTTTTCGCGCCTGGGTAGTTGGAGATTGTACTTCTGAATTGGATAATCCAGAACTCCTTGCTGGGTCCCTCGACTTGCTGGGGGCTGGGCAGGCAAGGATCAGGGGCGACATCGATCTACTAGCACCTTTCTATTTTGACAGGGGGTCATAGATTGGGTCCATTCCATCACCACCAACAGCTGATAGAGCGTGATCACGTTCAATCAAGGTTCTTGCGAAGGATGATCAGGTCTTTCTGTGCATGGGAAATCGACATAGTTGGTTCCCGTGGACCTAGTCGCCCTAGTCGGGTCCATGGTAGCTCTCCAGGTGTGAACAAGGTAAATGGTATATATTATTATATTTGTGCATAGAGGAAGAACGCCAAGATAGACCCACCGGAATGGGGATCGTCCTTGCTTTTGATGAGCTATAGCCCATTCCTATGAGGCACAACCTCAATATTGTAGACAAGGTATTCTGGTTTATTGAGTCAACTACAGTACATATGCGCTCATCTGGCAGCAAGTTCCATCCGCAAGTCAGTCGGCGGTACGGGAGAAAAATCATTACGCTGCATTACGCTGCCTTGTTGGAGCGACCCAACCCATCTGACAATCCTGGGAGGCGATGTGTACAGATTGTTCTATATATATACATAATACACACATACAGTATATTTGTTCATATACAAATCATTACAAATCTATATCCTCGAAGTTTCCCATGATTCCCACTTGCAGGTGTCTGCTACCACATTCCTTCCAAGCTGCCCCAGAATTGCCTCTTCATTGCCTGCTGTGGAAACAATTTTTGGAACGGCGCAAGCAACCAAAATGAATAAACATGTTTAATTTAGGCCAGTGAAGTTTACCAAAGCCCGACCTTCACCTCCGCACGGATCAACTCTCGCCGCTTTCGCTCATCAGAACAAATACGAAGCCTTAATGCAACACCGACACCGGACCAGACATCCGAGGTGAGGTACACACTGGATTTACCAAATTGAAGGCAAAGTTCACATAACCTTACAAGGAAGTTGACACAAGAACTCCGGGATAGACTATCGGATAGACCCTAAATATGTTGGAAGAAAACTCACGAGGCGTAGTGCGGCGTACTTAGTACTTGTGTGGTCGCACGGTCTTTTATAACCGTCAACTGGATCGCGAAGGCAAACAAAAAAGTACAACTATACTATATCAGTGCAATGTGATGGGATGAGAAAACTCCAGGGTTTCTCGCAAAGTTGCGAGCAGGGCCTGGCCCCAGGCCGGCATAGGCGGCATAGACCCTTTAGTTTTCAATCAACTAGAAATCCCACGACCTATTTATGCCAGTGCTCGGTCTCTTACAACCACTAACCGGATCTCGAATGGAAATGAGATAGATAGATCACTAGATCAGGGGATGGTTCCAGAATGCACAAGAAGCTGCGGTCAGGGCCTAGCTCCAGAGTTCCAAAGTTCCAAGCTTGTGGGTTGCAGAAAGCTGCGTCAAACCCTAGTACCAGAGTAGGGTTTCCGGGTTTCAGGGTTCCAGGCAAGAAGTTGCGATCAAAGAGGTAAGGACCCTTATAGGAGCCCCTAGTAGCTTCTTGTTACTAGTAGTACGGCCAGGAGCCCCTAGTAGCGTCCTTGCTCCTAGTAGCGGTGCCAGGAGCCCCTAGTAGCGTCCTTGCTCCTAGTAGCGATAAAAGCTTTCAGCAAAGACATGCAAAGACATATACCATCATATACCCCAAGAGCCGCTGATGGCAGTAGTGTGGCTGAGGCTGCAACACTCGAATTTCTTCTGCCAAAGACAGGCGGCAGCGAGCTGAAACATGCGAAAGCTTCTTCCTGGAACATGTGGCCGTAGTTTGCATCGGTTGCAAAGGCAAAACCACGAAGCTTCATCTCACAGCCCGTTCAATCTCTGAGGCCAAAACAAGTAGCCCTGCACCTTCTCAACCCAAAATGTCAAATGCAGGAATTGATTTATATATTGTTTATATATATATATATACATGTCATGATTTGCATCACGCGCCTCTTTGCAGTTTTCCCAAGGCCACTCCAAACCAGGTGCATTGCACATTGCTAGTGTGATTTGAAGCCTCGAGGTTAAAAGCACTATGGAATCTTGAAGCTTCAATCAAATCTTCCATTGCTATGCTGGCAAATGATTTGCCAAACGCTGAGCATTTCCACCGAATGGCGCAGGTGTCAGCATCGGCATCGCCCTGCCAAAATCGAATGGTGCAGTAGGTGCCGGCTGTGTGCTTTGAGCAATCCTAGGATATCCTAGGGAGCTGGCGATGATGCCCAATTGCTCGAAGATCTGTGCCTCTCCAGAATCCAAGCCTCAAACTGCTGTCAGAATTAATCTCAAAGTTCTTCCCATTCCTACTTCGGGGCCTGTAGGTGCCAATGAGCGTTTCTGACAGAATTCTGCTCTGAGTCTTCCACGGTCATCAGTGGCGATGCTGTTGACCAAGGCCGCCCTGGAGCTGCGCGCGAAGAAAATAAATGAAAATGCCTCCAACCTACTAGCTTCTTGCTACTAGTAGTAATGCTCTTTGTTACTAGTAGCGATGCCCTTGTTCCTAGTAGCTTCTTGTTCATACTGATACTGTGGTACCTGACTCTATTGCTGATCCAAAAGAAAGGTGTGCTGTAAGGATCCAGCGCTTCGCCATGGTTGCGGTGAAGCCACTGCATCAAAAGCAAGTAAAGTGCGGAGTTTTGTGTAGGCCTCGACAAAGGCAAGAAATCGGTATGTGACTTTTTGCTCGCGCTATTTATGGATCCTAAATGAAGCTCACTCGCAGGACAACCTTTGCAACGGCCCAGTATGCCCAACACTTCATACTATTATCCAGTTTCCAACTCGCAGAAGTTCGGGAAGGAACAAAGGGCACTCGGTGCACACAAGCCTGATCCTAGGCACCTCTTCGACGCAATTCACAGCGAAAGACTGTAGATTTAAGGCCCAGTCGTCTGCAAAAATGAAAGGGTCGGATGTACCTTTGAAGGCACAGTGACACTCATTCGCTGGGCATCTTCTTGCAACACAGGTCACGGGGTAGAGAAAGCTTTTGTTCCTTGCGTTCTTGTTCCACTTGAAGTCAGCTCCTGAAAACAAACACCAAAGGACTTAAAGCCGCAGTCAAGCCAAACAAATGGACACAAAAGCAGTCTTGTTCGGTCAACGCTCAGTATTGAACGGACAGACACACATCCCATTCAGTGTTTGAGACCCTGGCTTGCAAATACAAGTTCAGTGGAAAACGGGTCAGTCTCAATGACGGGCCTTCCAAAAGGGCACACTGCTAACAGGGTTGCGGGGTTCATGAAATTGAAGCATGTCGAAGTCTTTGAGTAGTGAATATAAGAAACAAAGATACAGTAATGGAAAACACTTGATGTCAGTGACTGCGCCTGAAGACCTTTACGTTGGGGCCTTGTCAAGATGCAGAAAACGTCTGTCTTCAAACATGCTTCAACTCCAATTCAGGATCTTGCACAGGACGTGAAACTCTGAGTTCTCGGTCTGGAGCAACAAGGCCTCAGTGCGAAGCTTTAGAATTTGACTGGATGTCTCCACCGAGTGCTAAGCTTCCAACATGAGGCAATGGCGAGAGCAAACGTGCCGCTTCACTTCGAAGTGCAGTTGGTGGTCCATTTGGCCTGTTGAGATGTTGTTGGCTGTTGAAGAGTTTGCTGTTGCAGATCTCACTTTCGGGGAGATCAGGCTCCAGCAAGAAGAGGTCCCCGTGGTCCACACAATAAAGGCGGAGCTCCCCATCTGCAACAAATGCTGTTCGAGTTAGTGAGCTTCGGAGGGCATCGCTACTAGGAGCAAGGAAGCTACTACTAGCTCCTGGCATTACTACTAGGAACAAAAAGCTACTAGGAGCAAAGGGCATCACTACCAGCTGTAAGTTTCCCTAAAAATCTAGGAACCAAATCATTAGTGTGAGCGCTTTTTCAAGGAAGCTTCCCCCACCGTGGGGAGCTTCCTTGAAGAAGCACGAGCTATCCTCCGTCCTAGGTAGTAGCTTACTTGCAGCTAGTAGCTACCTCTCCCTTACTTAATTAAGTAGGGAGGAGGGGGAGCGGGCTAAAGAACGCAAAAAAAAAGGAATATATATATATATATAGTGCATTGGAGAGTGGGGTTTTGCAGCCGCTCAAACGCAAAGTGCGGGAGATGCAGGCTTAACCTACCGCCCACCTTCTGAATCCAAATGCAGCTTTGCAGGAAATGCTTTAGGCCTTTGTGAATAGACTTGAAATTCACCGCCAGCCGCGGAAGCTCAACAAGGTCGATGGACGGCTTTGTCTTGGAGGACTGCGGATCAACGCCTCAGCAACAGGCAAGTCATGCGTCAACAGAGACTGCGGCAATCACATGGAATGAACATTCAATCCAGCAAGTAGTCTTCCTTGATGCTGTGACCCCCATGACTGCGCTGCAACTTAGAGTTCTCTTTTGCCATCAGCCGTCAGGTTGGAGGTAAGCACGTCTGCCCCGCAAGCGGAATGCTTGGGGTTGCCTGAGTTATGAACTGCCAAGAAGACCACAAAAGATGACCAGGCAAACCCAAGGCAATTGCAGGAGACTTGAAAATGCAGCACCCTGCACATCATCTGCATCTGCTGCATCTAGCAATTCCAAGGCCTTGGTCTTCGCTGTTGATCGTCTTCCTTTCTGGCTCAACGTTTGGCGTAGGGAATCTACAGTAATTGAATCTATTGAAGCTGTTGTATGCAGCTTTGGATCCCATAGGGTTTGCTCATCACAAATTATATAGCCGCAGCATTGCAAACGTATGCAACCAGGTCAACTGAACCTTATCGGCAATCCTGCAAAAGGGGGATAATTGCTAGTTACAGAATGCAGGTTACCCTGGAGGCTTCAGTGTTGAAAGTGGCTCTGTGCTGTCAACGGCACTTGCAGCATGAGCCCGCACTTGTCAGGCTTCAGACCCCAAGGCTTCAAACTTTGTGCGTATACTAGTACAACTCCAAGAGGACGTCAGTCGTCAAGAATGCGAGGTCGGAATTCCGAGTTGTATGCTAATCATGTTTCACTGGAAGAAACCCAAGCCCTTGGGATTGCGGGTCACCCAATCACCCAAGCGTCTTCCAACCATGTCCCACCCACCTCAACAAAAGCTTTGCAAAACAATCTGTCCTTCAATGATACGACTTTTTGCAAAGAAAGCAAAGGGGGGGGCTATATCTGCGGTCTGGTCAAATGTTCTTGTATGATCTTTTATGTATGGCCATTATAAAGGCATCCTAAGCCGGTTCGCGCGCATTGTTTTGCTAAGGGGTGCCCGCTCGCGCCACGCAGAGAAAACAGTACAGTAAAGAAAGAACATCTTCGAGATTCGATATTTACAATTATTATTACCGCACCGCACCTTTGATAAAAGTAATTTGGCCAACTCCAACAGACCCGGGAGAACAGTAAAGAAAGAAAGTGTTCAATATGTACCGCCTTTACCGCACCTTGGGTAGGGCAATTTGGCCAACACGGATGACCTATGACCTCCTGATTGCAAAACAAAATAAAATATTGCATTGCTACATTGTGGTGCCCAGAATGTCCTGCCAAACAGACCGATTTGCTCCCAGTGAACCGCGTGTTAAAATATTCCGGGTGTCCATAAACAAAACAATTGCATGTCTTTTTTGCTTCACATGCAACAAAACCATAAGCCGGATACAACGCACGCAGTATATAAACGGGTCGAACTCGGAAACCTCTATTAACCCGATGATTCTTTCTTTCACCTTTTACCGTTTGGACCACGGATTTCAATCAACAGAGATTGAAATGTCATGAAATGTCTATGTGTTTGGACCCAAGAAAAAGAGTACAAAGGAAGTCGCTTTGTACCGGTTTCACAGCATCTTTGAGAAAGCCAAATTGCCCGACAGACCTGTGCGAAACAGTAAAAAAAAATATGTGTTTTTACAATTCTTAATGCGCCTTTAGTAGCAAAAAAAACGCCACACACCCGTAGAAAAGCGACAAAACGTCAAATTGTTCAATTCTTACCATGTTTGCCACACGTGTGGTAAAAGCATCGGCGACCGACCCAGGAAAAAGGATTAAAAACAGTTTCGATGTTTACCGTTTATGCCACGGAAGTGCCTCGGAGAAACCCCGCAGCCCCTGCAACACCGCTAAACCAGCACAGAAATTTGTGAGTCCCCTATTGGTTCCCAATGTTTTGGAACCTTGTTGCAGGTATCATGTTTTGGAAGCCCCTTATCATTTGCAAGGGTTTGGAGAATTCCAGCATATGAATGAAAAGCTCTTCTTCGCAAATGTCGAATTCACCTTATCTGGGACCAATATATACTTCTGCAGCAACAAGATTGGCAGCTTGAGAATTGATGGTGCGACTGAAAAGTGTGGTTCATTTCGATGGCTAAGAGAACATTGCTAGACCATGAAAAGCTGTTATCACCTTTTGGTCCAAACGTGAAGTAAGTACCAGTACCAGTAGCTAGACCATTAATTTTGCCTAGACAAGACCTGAGGCTAAATGTGTGGACCCAGACTCCAACGAAAACAGTAGAAGTCGAATCCACTGACAAATTGCCTCTTCATGAAGTTCGCTTTCCAGGTTTTAGGCGTTCAACCATGTTCAACCCAGCGACAAAGTACCTTAGGCACGGGCATCTTTCAGTCCTTCTATTTCAGCTCGCCTTCTTTCACTTCTTTCCTAACGAAACAAGCACATGACATTCAAGGGTTGGCAGCTGATTGCGTTGTATGAGAACAAGAAAGAGCATCTATACATTGACTGTGCAATCCTCGAGACTTTCGGGAGGAACAAAGCACTCGGCCTTAGGGGTGCTCTTATTGACTCAAGCACCGCTAGAGCATGTTGTGTTCTTTCAACATAAACGCTCCCTGGGTCTCTCGAGCGGTAAGTCCGTTGTCAAACTTGATTGCAGACAGCTCCGTCTGAATACTTTTTGCATCTGACCTGGTCAGTGAGGCGCCAATATTCTTTTCTGGTAGCGCTAAACCAGCCCATAAAACAAGCAGCACGCAGACGTGACATGCATTTGACGTACAACATGTTTTGTCTGCTTGTTTCTATGGAGTTTGGCCGACTTTAGCTGCTTCCTATCGATCCAATTACTACTACATGTTATGAATCATATGCCAAGGCTCTGAAGCTCTTGGACATCTTCACCCAAGCGCCGAGCTGCCTGACAGGATTATGATGGAAAGCACGTCAGCACGTGATGTGCTACAGTATTTCAGGGTATGCATGCCCCCTTGTGCCATGACCAAGCGAATCCTGTCCTGGGTTTTGTGCTGCACATCCTTCTCCTTACGGGCCCTCTCCATCTCCATGTCCTACAACATCGCAGTTGCATAGCAATAGCCCTCCAAAAACAAAAATAGACCGTGCGCCTGTAAAGTCTTGGTAAAGTCTGCCTGGCGGCAAAAAGACATCTGATTATGATTGGCTAGAGAGAGAGAGAGAGATTGAGCGAATCGAGCATGTCTCACCTGAGCTGATGCTTCTGCAACCTGCAGCTGGGCCACGTTCTTCATCGCATCAGACTCAACAACCTGGAATGACGCGACACAACGAACAAATTCTGTTGAAGCTTCGTTTAAGGAAACAAAGCCTCCAGTAGCCCAATGACGCTGGTAGCAGTGCCTGATGCTGTCGGCTCTGCTATCATGATACCCAGCGCATGTCATGTGCTTTGATTTCACCAATTGCAGCTGCTGGCCTCTGTTTGAAGTTGACCTGCTTGCTTCTTCTCCGCCGTAGTACCTACGACTTTCAAGCTCAATCTCTGTGGTTATGCCATCTGAATTCCTTAATGACCTGTTTATATAGCAATGTTCAGATGCCACAGCACAGTTAAGTTCTGACAAGGCTTTGCTTTGGGTCATACGACAATAAGCAAAGAACTGTGGCGCAGCACCGACAGTACAAACACCGGTCAACCTACCACTCGGCATGATAAGGTGGAGTCATTCAAGAAGCCGATGTTCAAATTAAATCCTCATTTGCTTGATTGCATGAACTCCACCAGCTCAACACAGAGGATGCAAATGAAAATTTGTGATGTTACTGTTTGGCCTATCATTTCAATAACATGTTCGAGACATTATTGATCCAGCCTTGTATAGTTGAATCACTTGTTCAGGCCTGCAAGAGTCAAACTCCGAGCATTGAACACCTGCTCAAGGCGCTAAATCTACATTCCAAAAGGAATCCTGGGTACGCCTGCCCGTTTCGCCAAATGTGCGTCAAACACAGCTGATTGGCATTACACTACACCGTGCGAAACAGCAAGAGCCAAGTCCTTCACAAGCACACCCGCGCTCTTAAGTAAGGGCTGGCAGTCTGCAACAAGCCCTGCCAGATCTGAATCGCTCGTTTTAAAGATGTTTCTCCTTGCTATGGTGTCATGGTTTTACAGTGGCTTCGGCGATTGTGCCCTGGCAGCTTTCGTCTGCAGGCGCGCTCAAAGGAGAGGTATTGGTTCCTTGACTTGGGGACGTTATGGGGGGGGTGGGGCAAATAACTTTGATGCCAGCCCTGTGTCTGCTACAGTAATTGAAGTGTATGTGTATACTTTGCGTATAATATGATGTGTACAATATATATATATACATATGCTGTCGTTTGATTTTTCCCCACTGACAAAAATAACACCTGGTGTGTAAGGGGGTCACGCACCACAACACGTGGTGGCAACAAGCTGCCTCACAAGTAAGTAGACAGCCCTACATCTTTGGAGGTAGTGAAGCTTTGGGTTTGCACATTGTTGAAGACTGCTTTCAGGAAGGCTCAAAGAATGGAACAGGGGTATGGGTTTCTGATTGAAGCTTAGTGTCAGGCACTCGTGCACGGTACAGTAGCAAGGCACCTTACTACTAGTAGCAAGAAGCTACTAGTAGCTCCTGGCATTACTACTAGTTACTATATAGTAATAAGAAGCTACTAGTAGCAAGGTGCCTTAGTAGTAGTAACAAGAAGCTACTAGCATGACTAGTACGTGAAAGAAGCCGAAGATGGGCGCTCCCGCACGGGAAGGGGGTTGCTGGGCATGAAGAAGACCCCTTCGAGTGAGCGCCCAGGTTCCATTAGTTGCTTGATCTAGCTGGGGAGAACATGGTGGAAAATCAAACAAATACTTGGGAGCAGCTTTAGCAATTTGTCAGATATACGATGCTGCTTGGGCTCCGGGAGTCAAGCAGCCTGCTCAAGCCTGCCGGTGGCGGGTGGTCACGGCCACTTGTCGCTCAGTGCCATGGTGTTGGATCGACGCATTTGGCTGGCATTGACGGAGGCAGATGTGGGCTGTGC